CAGATATGATCTGGGATCTCTCAAGTGCACAAAGCAACGTCCGGATCCTGGGTTATGTGTCTCTATGTGTGTGTATATGTGAGTTAGTTTTATGTATATTTTAAGGGTTTCGCCCCGGCAGGCAATTAAGAGCGCCAGAGATTCGGGGAACTCCTATCTCGGGAACGTTTGTTCCTTAGACTTAGAGGACTCTGGACTTTCATCTCGTTTCCTCTCGCCCGCATATCACAGCCTCTCCATCTCTCTCTCTCTCTCTCACACACACTCATCTCGACATTCGCCCTGCACGGGCAAGTTGTTCCCTAAGGATGCTGTCCGACCGGGAGCATTTGAGCGTCGGAGAGAGAAAAGGAAGAGGCCACTAATCTACAAGACTCTGGGGTGAACCTTGGGGGGCGGCGGCGAGGAGTTTCCGAAGGGGCGGTGTGGGGACCGGAGGGGGCCGCGCGCCATGTTATTGCCAGTAATTTATTCATGGCAGTTCTCGACATGACTGTTTGAATCGGTTTCCAAGAGATTCCAACTTGGATTAACTTCAACTCATAATCGCCGAGCCGCCACACACCGGAACATTTTCGCACACACATACACACTTTACTCAAATCCCACCAATTCCTCTGCAACCACCTCCGAGGACTTGCCTAACTCCAATCGCACCAACTTATCATCAATCCTAATCGTTCTATTCCTACTCATCATACAATATTTAAATTTTCTTAAAATAATAAACATAATAAACATAAACATCTTATTATTATTATCCAGACGTTTTCTAAGATTGTTTTCCATTACATTTTTTCACATAAAGATAAAAACTTATAAATTTTCATTCAATATTTTGTGAAGTCCTCAATCAATGCATTTAAATAATAATTATTATTTTAACTTATATTTTAACAATTTATTAATACTTTAATAATATCTATTTCTATTTAAAATCAAACAATATACTAACATTGTTGATGTGGAACTGTTGAGTACATATTACATTTTTAGTATGATCTACTGTTGTGTCCAACCATTCATATCGATCAAATCCCAATTTCCACCCCGTATTTACAACAGTCAAGAATGTAAATTATGTATTTTAAGTTAGTCACAAATATTAAATAAAATCACATATTATTAATTATAAAGTTAAGATCCTGAAAATCCACATAAAGCAACAGAAGACAAGATTCCACAATAAACCAATCTCTGGGACACGACAATAGATAATGATAATGTTTGATTTGGGCGCAATTGTACATGTAATAATAAATATATTGTAGATGTAATATGCAGTTTGACTAAAATATACATATTAAGTACACAAAGTGAATTATAAATTAATTTATTTTTTAAAATTTCATATACAAGTCTATTAAATAGTTACTTTGATTTATCTAATAATATGTGAACCATTTTTAATAGTAATTAAAGCAAGATGTATTTACTTATGCAATAAATAAATGTATTATATGTTCCAATTTTCAATATATTTTTATTTAAATCAATATGATTTCAAATTTATACTTCTGTTGAAATTGAGTGTACACATTTTTAAATCATTAATAAGGAATAAGAGATATTTTTTTATTATATCAATATATATATATAGCAATATTTACTAAACTGCGACATATACTATTAACATCATTCTTATTAGACGTTTAATAATAATTTATCTACTCGCGCGGTGTATTTTATACACCACATGTATTACTGCAAGACGGAGTGCATAAATGATTGAACTACGACAAGAAAAAACATGTACACGTTAACTAATGCTTCTTTATTAGATTCATAACTATTACATTAATATAATAATTTCTGAATCAAAATTTTTGTCATTGCGCTCTATATATTTGTCAGCGTCGTACGCCAACTCTGCAGAGCAAGAACAAACGTGAACAAAAACAACTTCTTTGTGCCGCAGTCAACACAATATTGCACCGGCGTTTAGTAATCATTTAGACATAGGTTACGTTAAGTGTATAGATGGGGAAATTAGAATATATATGTGGTATAATTTCTTAGAAAATTGGTGTACTTTTTACACCGGCGCGAGTAGTTAAAGGTTAGAAATGATGACAAATTATTTTATATCGTCAATTAATTTATTTCTATGTATTAGCAAATAAAGCTTGAAATGGTCAATCAATATTTGTTTCGTTTCCATTTTCTATTAATTCGCATGCACATCTTCAACATACATTATGAATTAAACCTATTTTCATATTATATTAAGAAATATATTATAATATTCATAATAAAATGTATGTATTTATAAATAATTTTCTGTTTCAGATGTTGCAATATCTTCACCAAAACCAATGTTACGCTTCAACTGTTTCCAACTTAAGAAGAACATGTGGCTATGGTCGCCTGTATCACGAAAATCTGATACGAAAGGTCGTTGGTTCAATTCCGAAAAATCAACAAAAAATTGTGGTGTCTGTTAAACCCGAAAGGAGTAGAAATAGGGCCGGAGAGATTTATATTAATAAATAAATTGATATAAATCTCTTTACTTAAAAAAAAAAACTTAAGAAGAAGAAAACTGAATGTGAAAAGATGTCATACTTGAAGAAATATGTAATAAGTTTGATTATTATTTGTATTATATGAAAATGTTTAATTATTTTTGTATGTTACTGTTACAATAAAGATTATTAATATTTTATAAAAATAAAAACAAAATTTGGCTTTTTGACTTATAATTTTAAAAAAAATATTCTTATTAAGTAATTATATCATAACTAGATTCGAAATTATATTCTGAAGTGTCTCATATACTAATAAGTATTTCTTAAAATCTACTATCTATAATATTTATAATTAGAAGTAATTATTTATAAATGTAATCGATATTGAAAAAGTGATAAATCTTGTAAAGTTATGAGAATGCGCCAGGTAACGTACGAACGCCATACCATATCTTCTGTCTTCGCCTGCCGCCCGGCAACATGCTATGGGCCGCCCCCGGCCTCTCCAGCATCGTCCACAAGTTTTAAGCCTACGTAAGCGCGCGCAAAGCCGCCGTTTTAGTTTGTAATTTGTATACAAAGTACTGCTACGCCGCTTCGACTTTGAGAATCTACACCGAGCAGAGCAGCATGACGACGATCCAAACTTCGAACCAACTTCGTTGTAAAGCCCCCACCTCCGATGCCACCCCCAGACTAACAAACTCATAACGTAAACATATAATGCTATAATAATAATAATAGCAACAACCGCTACCCGAACTCGTTAGAATATAATCAATTTATATAATAAACATTACCAATATTGCATAACAGAATCCCATTTTACTATTTATACCCTTAACATTAAATTACTTGTTTAACTAATAAATTGATGAAAGTATAATGAATGCTACAATTTATATCAGAATTCAATTCTTTAAAGTAATACTCATTCTTGATATACTTAAAGTTTAAGATTTGTTTACTAGTAATGAGAAAAATAAAGATTTCATTTCACAAACAACGGATTTTTGAACACGTATTACATTATTTGTATCGCACTTGTTTGTCTCATGGCACACTTGAACCTATAGTTAAACTTCCAAAGCACACAAGCATTTATTATGCTTTAGATTTCATTTGAAAATAAGTGAATTAAAGTTGTTTTAAAATTTGAACTTGATTAATTTAGTTCGTTTATCATGATAATTGCAATTTGTATAACTTGAAAAACAGGAAATCAACATCATTTTCTCACATTTTGTTGTAAATAAATAAATACAAAAATATTTGTTATTGTTTGAAATATTTTTGTTAATAAGTCAATGAGTTTAACAGTAAATTGTCTCCGTCTTTTGATAAACGATATTGGATTGGATTGTTAAAGCAAACGCATCCATCACTCGACACCATTTGGTCTACGCGAAAAGCGAATAATAAACTCGAGATTCGATAATGTAACAACTTTACGTAACTTTCGGGTACCATGGCGATATTAATATATACTGTCCATTTTGTATGTGTGTGTGTGTAAGTGTTGGGCGCACAAATATAAATCATCCCCTTGTAATTAAGACAAATAATACGCTTTCAGCTGTGAGGACGTTGCAATCGAGAAGATTAATTTTCCGGAGGGTTTACTTTGCGTACTCGCTCTCTCATCCCAACACCAAAAACGATCCTGCCAAAATCTTAATGAAATAGCAATCGTGTCTCCTCACCAAGTTCATCATATAATATATATTTTAATCCAAACGATGTTCAAAACGCGATACATTACACGTGTTTTATGAAAATCTTTCATTTGATTAATACAGCCTATATTTCTGGCTATCTATATCAAATAGATTTTTGAAATACACTTAAGAAAATAGATAATTAATTTTTTTTTTTAATGTATTTTGTTTTATGAAGTTATTTTATGAGATAAAATTATGTTAATAACAACTAAATTGGAATTAAAATATATGTTTCAAATAATTATTAATAAGTATTCGTAACAGTAGAGGTTTTACTTGTTTTACCTGCCAAATATATAATAATGTTCAATGATTCCAATCAAAGTAGAACTAGAAAATCCGATTGGTAAAGTTAATTGTTTAGTAGTACTTAAAAAATATACCATATTAAGATTAATTACTTTATTTGAGTATTCAGTATTAGTTTATATGTAATTAACCAGACCATTAACAATTTATTCAAAATGTGCTTAATTTTCCATCATTATTTTGTACCGATATTCAAATGAACGCACATATATTATAATTCATACATAGGATTGGTAAATACGATTGCAGTATTTTCAAAAATATTTGAAATATAGTATATCTAATGTGACAAATTTGTAAAATTAACAGTAAGTAAATAAATGGAAATACTCTTTTTTTTTAATAGCTTTTTTTTTCTTGAAATTGTTTTATGACCCATTTCTCACAACGAATATATTTATAAATAATAAATTTACAATAATGAAACTCAATGATAAATATCGATATTTATATTATTAACCTATCAATAATATAAATAATGGTGCAATGACTGAACGTCTACTTCGTTTCTTTTTTTTTTTTGTTGTTTTATTCATTCATACAATTATATTTCCCTCCCCGATGTTCGTGTTTTCTGAAATAATTCGCAAAGATAAACCCTGTGACTCGATTTTGTTTTACTGTATATAAATAAAACCCTCAGCAGGTCGAAAATCAATCAATGTACATCCAGATTAAAATTAAGTATTTTTAAGTCATTAAAACAAAATAAATAAAATAGTTTACAGTATACATATACATATATATAGTGTAGAGCGAATCCTTGCGAAACGTTTCCATGCCTTATCCTCGCTCCGGGCACCCCCAAATCCTGAGTTTGCGGCAGACGAAGGGGCGGACGCGGAGGTGAATCGCTGTTGGTGACATGGTTTGTGCAGGAAGGAAAACCGTCTTCATCATCATAATCAATTACTGTACACATAATAATCTAAGGGTTGGGCTTTTAAGTGTTTCTTCTCCGTCTCCGATTTACAAACCGGCGAGGATTACGCGAGGGTCTTCGACCGCAGCCTTAATCTTGCGCAAGAACATCACAGCCTCACGACCATCAATCAGCCTGTGATCGTAGGTGAGGGCGACGTACATCATTGGACGAATCACAACCTGCAAAAAGCAAAATTAATAAGATTTGTAATCTTCAAGATGATGAACGATAGTTATCGTGAATGAAAATCGGTCAACAAATTTTACCTGTCCCTTGATGGCTACCGGCCTTTCGAAGATGCCGTGCATACCCAAAATCGATGACTGCGGTGGGTTAATGATGGGTGTACCCAACAGAGAACCGAAGACGCCACCGTTGCTAATGGTAAAGGTACCACCATCCATATCTTCGACGGCCAGTTTACCTAAATTTATAAAATTAGTTTCATCACATCGTGGATTATGGTTAACGGAAAAATAAATTTACCTGCTTTGGCTTTTTCGCCCATGGCGGCGATGGCCAGTTCAATGTTGGCATAGTTCATCGACTCCACGTTCCTGATGACCGGAACAACAAGACCCTTAGGTGTGGCAACAGCGACGGAAATGTCTACGTAGTCCCTGTAGACGATTTCCTGTCCCTCGATGACGGCGTTCACAACGGGCTGATCCTGCAGCGCGTAGGCGGACGCCTTGGCGAATGCAGACATGAAGCCTAACTTCAATCCATATTTCTTCTGGAAGGCATCCAAATTGGCCTTCCTGAATTCCATCATGTAACTGCAAATATAAAAATTAGAATCTGAACACCTTTCAGAAAATTAGTTACTTACCTCATGTCGATTTCGTTGAAGGTGGTCAGCATGGCGTTAACGTTCTGGGCTTGCTTCAAACGTTCGGCGATCTTCAACCTCATCCTGTTCATTTTCACCCGTTGCTCGGTCCTCGTTCCAGTAATCTCCTTGGTTGGATCCGCTGGTGGTACCTGAATCGATATCACTCCAATTTAAATTTTAATTCTTAAGTGTAACAGTGTACTATATACCTTGACCGTTGCGGCTTCAATTGCTTGAGCATGCCTGATGGCAGCCACTGGGATGGTGCTGGTTGGAGCCCTTGGTGGTGGTGGCGGTGGTGGAGCGCCTGCAGATGGGGCAGCCGCCTTTGGTGGTGGTGGTGGAGCTGCAGCTGAAAGTAATCAATAACAATTGGATATTATTAGAAATATCTCTTTGACTGAAGTATATTTAATACATACATGGAGTTGGTTTTGGTGCAGGTGGTGGTGTAGGAGCGGACTCCTGTGCAGGTTTTGGTGAATCCTTCTTCGGCGGTGGAGCATCTCCAGTGATCTTCAACTTGAAAAGTTTCTGACCAGCCTTGACGGTGGCTCCTTCGGCAACGTAAAACTCCTCAATAACACCTCCAGCCGGCGACGGCACCGGAACGGAAGTCTTATCGGTTTCAACCTCAAGGACAACTTCATCTACTGAAACGACATCTCCAACTTTCTTCTCTAGCCTAAGTATAAACAATAACAATTTATGAAATTTAAATTTATAAATATACTAAATACATTAATTAGTATTGTTTATCGTTGTAATATAATTGCTGTTACATCTTCTGATAATCATTGTGAATGTATCAACAAGGCCCAATCTTACTACATTTCAAGCAGATTGCTGTAATCTGTGTTTATTTCAGTGAATACATAATATTGAAAAACTTTCGTATCATGAACTTTTACACAATGCGAAATTCTATTTATACGATTCTATGAAATAAACACATTATGCAATTTTTCTCGGCCGATCATATTATCAGTAGAAAAATTCCGAAATCATTGAGGACAGTATCAAAGTCATTGATAAGATTATAATGCGCCATTTCCATAAAAAAAATATCTTTACCTAACATCTCCTTCAGAGATCGAGTCTGGGAAAGGTGGAACGACGATGTCCTGTGATTGAAGCAGAGCAGCGCTGGACCTGAAATACCTGAGCTCTTGCGCGTAAAGCGCATTCTTAGGCCTAACAAATAAATAATGAAATATTACATAATTAATATAATTTGAGATAATTAACGCTTATTGTTCATTACCTTGGTAAAACAGTGTTATTGGCCCTTAAACAGGCTTTATACAATACTCTGGCAGCTTGATGATATGACCTTTGGTTGCCCTAAAAAATGAAAGTAAAATTATTGTTAATTCAATTATTATTAGTTTGCATATAAGAAATGAATAAAATATTGTCAACATTGACATCATTTATATGGTACTTTCACCAATGATGCAATTGTTGATATATAGAACTATTACATTGGAAAAGTTACTTTCAAATATTGTAATGGAGAAACAATTTTAAAATTTTACTTCTTATTTTATGTAAGCAATCCTTAAATATTGCATAACTTAATTAGACTATTTGAGGTTAGTGGGAGTAAGCTATTTACTTAATTATCATTATGAATTAAGTCATTTTGGAATGGGATCGAAACATTCGTTTCTACCTTGAAACAAATGATAAATCATTCCGAAACAATTGAATTCGTAATGGGTGGAATTACATAACGGACTGGCGCAATTTCGCGCGGTATTGGATAGAACCGTCGTGCGATCGAAGCAGAGCCTGGCCACCGTTACATAATTTTGGATCTATTTAAAGAAAATAAGGGAATGGTTTAGATTTGGGACGTGGATCTTGTTCATGGGGACACGGAAGTTCGATTCCAATTAGAACTCACCTCAACCAGATTCCTTTCCAGACAGTTCGTCAGCGCCCTAAGGACGGGTTGTTGGCCCGACCTTCTGGCAGCAAAAGCTATAATCCCTGCCATTCCCTTTCACGTTCGAAACCCCCACACGCACCAAAGACCACAAGAATTACCAGATAAAAAGGAAAATTATGCGAACGGATTTCGTTCTGACCGTGTCATGCGCTGCCTGCCAGAAATTTGCGGATGACGTTCAATGCTGCCAATATAGACCCAGCATATATTACATATTTGAACAAAAACGAAGTTCCCTACATTCAAATCGATAACTTTATCATGGTCTTAAAATCTGTAAATTGATAATAACTTTCATATGCGGTTCTGCTATCATTCATTTTAAAACAAAATGCGAAACATTAATAGCTTTTCAATTTCATAGATCTAGAAATTATGCAACCCACTAAGCACAAAAATCAAAATAATACTTTTTGTGGGATACAATTTAATACATTATAACAATTATTTATGGATATTATAATATTATCCTCTAAGTAATAAATAAAACAGAAATCAATCTACTGATTATATAACAGTATATAAACTAATCACAAAAACATAACCTAACTTATTGTGGCAGTTATAATGGCTGGGAATTATAAAAGAATTTTGCAGGTCTTAGAACGTTGGCCTTTGGATCATAATAAAGCTGGAAGGTACACTCACTGAAAATATTTCATTAATAATTTATTTAATATATTGTTTCATTTCAGGGATTTGGGCCAGCATCTCAGGGATTCCATCCAGAAAGCACACCAGGCAGGCAAGCTCAAAGAGAATCCCCAATACTGGGACAGACAATATTTTTCCCTCCAAAAGATTGTAAACAACGACCACAAAAATAAGTATCCTAGATTGCTAAATTCATCTGCAACAGGTCTAACAGCAGAGCAGTGTAATTTAGCTTTATCGAACGAATTTCTAGAGCTCCTAGAATTTGAAGATCAACCTATCTATAAGAGGATTTTCAATAGGAAAAAATGAATTTAGTTAGAGCATTTTCCACCAAGCCCCACATACCAGTCATGTTGGATGAGGTATGCCAATTTTTGAAGCCAAAAGACTCCAAACTTATCTTGGATATGACATTTGGGGCTGGTGGTCATAGCAGGCAATTACTGCAAACATCAAATGTTAGATTATTAGCTTTAGATAGGGATCCAGTTGCTCACAATTACGCCAAAGAATTAGCGAGTGAATTTCCAGATCGTGTTACTCCGTTATTGGGAAGATTTTCAGAATTGCCAAAATTATTGAAGAACGAAGGCATTGGGCAAAATTCTCTAGATGGTATTCTCTTTGATTTTGGTTGTTCTTCGATGCAATTTGATGTCGGCGAAAGAGGTTTTGCGATTTCCAAGAATGGACCTTTGGATATGAGGATGGATGGAGACAGATTTCCAGATATGCCAAAAGCTTCGGACGTTTTGGCTACAGCGACTGAGGAAGATATATATAAGATTATTAAATACTACGGGGAGGAGAAGCAGGCGAGGAAGATTGCAAGAGCTATAGTTGAAGCTAGGTATTTGTTTAAGAAGTTGAATACCACTGAGGAATTAGCTGATCTCGTGGACTCAGTCTATGGAGATGACTGCGTGCAATTGGATAAACTAATGAGGCATTCTCACCACGCAACCAAAACGTTTCAGGCTTTAAGAATATTCGTTAATAACGAATTGAACGAAATCAATTATGGTATAATTTTGGCACAGAAATATCTCAAGATAGGTGGTCGTCTCGTTGCAATAACTTTTCACTCTCTAGAAGATACTATAGTGAAGAGACATATGCTTGGTAATGTTATTGCAAATACAGTGAATCCTCTGCCGTTGAAATATAGCAGTTACACATTGAACATTGAAAAAACTATTGTCCAAGAGGCAATGGAATCTAATTGGAAGGCGCTCCACAAACATGTTTTAGTTCCTAAGTTTGACGAGGTCGAAGAGAATCCTAGAAGTAGATCGGCGAAATTGAGAGCAGCTGTTAGAATTAAATAAACAATACTAGTAATTATATTGTTTTTTTTATTATTTTGCCCATATATACAAACTTTAATAATAACCATATTTAGCATGAATAAAAGTGATACCAGGAATAAAAAGGGGGTTTCTTTTGTATAATTAAACAGTCAATTTAAATAATCAATAAAGGAAATATTGAATTTAGAATAGTCCTTCTATTTCTTCCGTTTCTATGTTAAGATCGATGTCGTAAATGGCTGGCCTTGTCGGTAAACCGGGCATTTTTGAAATCTAAAATTTTCCGATAAAATATTTGTATTTTTTCTTGTAAGTGGTCTTACTTGGCCAACAATAGGAACTATGAATCCGGCTCCTGAAGAGATCGACACATCGTTGATCTTCAAATTGAAACCAGTGGGTGCACCTTTGATGTTAGGATCTCCGGTCAAAGAAAGTGGCGTCTTGGCCATGCAAATTGGCAAATTACCGAAACCCTAAAAATATGCACAAAAATTAGAAACTATTGTATTATTAGTATTTATTATTACTTGTTTGGTATATTCGTTGATTTTTTCTTGTACTGCAGGATCGTATTCGACGGTAGATGCTCCGTACATCTCTTGAGCGATTTTCAAGATTTTTTGTTCAATGGTCAAATCCAGATTATATAACAATTTGAAGTTATTTTCTTGTTCGCACGCCTTGATCACAGCATCTGCCAAGTCGAGGGCACCAGGTCCTCCATCGGCCCAATGGGTACAACATACAGCATCGAAAGCGCCGTTTGCTAGAGAAGCCTCCTTGATCATGTTGATCTCAGCTTCTGTGTCTGTAGCGAAGGTGTTTATAGCTACAACAACTGGCATACCGAATATACGACCGTTTTCAATGTGTTTGATAAGGTTTGGAAGGCCGTTCTTCACGAGCTCAAGGTTTTCTTTGACGTACTCTACTGTTAGAGGTGTTCCTGGAGAGACTGGTGGGCCACCGCCGTGCATTTTAAGAGCTCTTATCGTTGTAACTAATACAACGCAATTTGGACGATTTCCTGATGCTCTGCACTTAATATCGAAGAATTTCTCCATTCCAATATCAGAGCCGAAGCCGGCTTCCGTTATAACGAAACCATTTTCTCCAGTCAATTTTAAAGCTACTTTGTCAGCAAGAATCGATGAGCAACCGTGCGCGATATTAGCGAAGGGTCCGGCATGTACAAGAACCGGAGTGCCTTCGAGTGTTTGCATCAACGTAGGCTGGACAGAATCCTTGAGCAAGACCATCAATGCTCCAGTTACACCCAAGTCATCAGTAGTCACCGGGTTTCCTAACTTATCGAAAGCCACGACCATTTTGCTGAGTCTATCCTTGAAATCAGCTAAATCTGTGGCCAGAGCTAGTACAGCCATGATCTCAGAAGCTACGGAAATTGTAAAGCACGTCTCCCGAGTCAAACCTTTCTCTGTAGGCGATTGTCCAATTGTTATCTTCCTCAAATACCTATCGTTCAAATCCATCACCCTAGTCCATACGACGTTGGTAGGATCAATGTTCAATCTAGCAAACTTCGTGCATTCTTCTGGCGTTAAAGAATCTGGATCCGTTTTATGAATACCTAAACGCTCTAAACGTCTTAACTGGATCTTCGAGAATTTCTTGATACCTTTCACAGCCGGCACCAAACGCTTGAACAGCGCATCATCGCTTTGAGTAGCTTCGTGGAAGATTCTAGTATCCAATTGAGCTGCTACCAAGTTATTGGCTGCAGTCACTGCATGGATATCGCCGGTCAAGTGCAAATTAAACTCGTCCATTGGAATGACTTGAGAATAACCACCACCCGCTGCACCACCCTTAATCCCGAACGTAGGCCCTTGAGATGGTTGTCTCAAACAAGCAAAAGTATTCCTGTTCTTGTGCGCGCACAACGCTTGAACCAGTCCAATTGTCGTTGTGCTTTTTCCTTCTCCCAATGGTGTAGGTGTAATTCTAAAATTATCAAAACAATACAAATTACTTTACTGAAACAATATAGGAATAAATGAAATCACAAACCCAGCAACTACAACATATTTGCCATCTTTTTGGTGTTGAAGCCGTTTCAGAACGGACAACGAAATTTTTGCCTTCTTGCTACCGTATTGCGAAACTTCGCTCTTGGACAAACCAATCTCTTGGGCTAACTGGCTGATATCTTTAGGTTCCTGGGCTCGAGCAATGGTGATATCGCTAGTAATATTAGAAATTTTATTTGATTTGATTAAATTAGAAATAATATGAATTTACTTTGGAACGGGTCTTTCCAACTTCAATGGCAAAGGTCGGATGGTCCATGCAGTCTCCAAGAGCTGCTTTGCGGCCCTTTCGGCTCCTAGGACCGTGTTCTTCATCAGCATAGCAACAGTCATTGGTCCAACGCCACCGGGCACTGGAGTTATGTAAGATGCCTTTTTGCTAGCTTCGGCGAAATCCACATCTCCAACCAACCTTTGTCCAGACTTTTTCGTTGAATCTGGAAATTATAAATCCCAAAAATAACATTTTGTTATCAAAAATATTGTAATACATTACATTTGTATAACTAATTCATGCACGTGTTTCTTAAATGTTTAACAAAATTTAACTGAAACTCAGACATTAAAAAAAGAACTACATATATTTTTATTTATTATTTGCGTTGATATTTTACCTATAAAAACTACTTATAAATTTGAAACTTATTTGAAACAAATTATATTTAGATTGAAATTCTTTGGCGATTTAAATGTTTATCCATACAAATATTGGCACAATGACTGATTTGTGTTGATGTTATTGAATTCATTATATGTTGTTTAAAAAAGTCAATCTTCTACGTCTAACGTGCATAATCACAATTTGGTACTAAGTTTAAACTAAATTAAAATACAAATGTTTAAATCATATAGTATCCCATAATATATATATTTATTTATAATAATGACCTTCGTGGAGGACACATCTGCACTGTGAACAGATCCACAGCAATTGCGAATTGTTTTTCAGTAGATCCAGTTCTATAACGCTCAGATTTGAGCACTTTGCGTGAACCTGTCGTAAACACGATCCATAACAATTAACTATGGTTTCCTGATCCACTTCTAATTCGCAGACCATGCACAGTCCCGACGCCATTTTAACTGGTACAAGATAATGAAGACGTGTAACGTCGATCTGATGATAATAATCAACTTACAGTACACACACACACCTCGAATGAACCAAAATTTTCACTTTCAAATTGTCGTTGAGTAAGATTAGGTTATTAATGAAACATGATTTACATATCTTGTTTTTAAGTAACTTGAATCTGTTTTTTTATTATTTGTAATTGTTTTGAAATTCTATTATTAATTTAAAACAATGTTCTCATTTTACGGAAGATATCAGTTTTAAATAGTTATAAATAATGAATATACTTGATAATTAAAGATGTTTTGTGTAATTGAATCCATGAATAAAAAATATTTATATAAATATTTAAAATTGCACAATAATATTTTCTACTTAACTTGAAACATAAAAAGTATTAGAATAGAAAATCTGTGGTCGTATTGAATTAATTTATCTGGAAAACCTAAACAATATAATAGAAAAAGAATTACCTGGAATAGCATTAATGCCGCAGTCGATTACGACCGCACCAGGCTTGATCCAGTCGCCTTTAACTAGCTCGGGCTTTCCAATAGCAACGACCAGCAGATCTGCTTTGCGACACTGCAACAAGAATCAATTAAAGCTAATTTGATCTCCCTAAAAAACTACGTCCTTTTCTACTTGGATGTACTCTCGCTCTCCCGTTTAATTTGAAGAATCTTATCAATTTCGACCTCTATCTGAAGGACCTTGACAATTGTTTCAACATCTGTCGAACTTATCGGTCGCAGAAAAAAAAAGTTCGAATAAACACATCGCTATCATCCTAATAATAAATGCTATGTTTACACGGCAGATTTCACGCCGCGTTCGCTCTTCCATAACATTTACCTGTAATTAATTATATTTGCTAAATACCTGTTCGGCGATATTTTTGGTGCGCGAATGGCAGACGGTGACGGTGGCATTGTGCCATTTCAGCAGTTCCGATACCGGAGTGCCCACGATCTTGCTTCTACCCAAAACGACTGCTTCTGCTCCGGACAATTGAATTCCTGACCTTTTAGCCAGCTCGATGCATCCATTCGGTGTGCACGGAAGGAACCCGCTGAAATCTCCTACAGCCACCTTTCCTTCATTAATCGTATTCAACCTATGCAGAGTAACAAATATACAATGTATATACTGATATTTAACAATATCCTGCTAACCCATCGACGTCTTTTCCGGGTGTCACGGAGTCGGTGATGAGATGAGAATCGATCTTGTTCACGGAGTCCAACGGCATCTGCACGATGATCCCGTGGATGCTTGGATCCTCGTTCAGTTTGCGCAATTTATTAAGGAGCTTTAACATAGAAAGTTAAATTGCTTGCAGTGTGTATATTCTGATTGTAATTTACTTCGCCTTCGGTAGTGGTGTTGGGCAATTGTAGATGTTGAGCTTCGATTCCAATCTCCTTGGCGGCTTTGATTTTCATCCTGATGTAAACATTTGAATCCTCACGACCGCCAACTTGTACTATAGCTAAACCAGGAGAGAATCCAGGAAGCATCTTCTTGAGAGAGCACACTTCCTTTGCCAATTGCTCTCGCATTTCTCTAAAATTTCATACAATATCATTATCAACCCTTTTTTAAACTATTTACTAATAATTGCAGATAATAGAAATCAATTACAATCATTACAAATATATTATTCATAATATATAGTTTGGTAATAATAATTAGATAGTATCGTTTAGTTCATTAAATGCATTTACGATGTTTATGCCACAAATTACAATAGATAAACTTTGCATAACAGTATTAACCCAAAGTTTATAAATATTTTCATCGTTGAACAACATTAAATAGATATCAGTTTAAATGATTATAAGAAACATTAAACATAATTGTAATAAATATTTAAAAAAAAGTGTCAAAGGAAGGATAACTGTTATATTTACTTCTTGATTGCTTAAGTCATTATAATAATTTTAAAATATCATTAATTTTTAATTAATTAATTATAATATAAAAATATTGGGTTTTTGAATTATTATTATTATAATGAAAGTAAAATAAATTCGAACTTACTTGGCGATGTCGGTGCCGGAAAGAACTTTTGCCGTCATCCTAGTGATTGTTTTAAGTCCTGAAAATAATGCGGAAAATATGCTGAAAAACCACTGTTGTTCTCTAGCCAAACGTACAATGCGAAATGTCCAAAAAACTGCGGAAATTTGTTGTTTTTACCATCAGCCGTAATCCAATGGATATTAATCTACACGGTTCAGGTCAAAAAAGATTATCGCTTCTGTGATTTCACATTTGAAATTACACAAATCTTGCATATTCGACTAACAAGAAAATTCGCAAGAATGATTTTTCTACGTTTTTCACAGAATAATAAATATTTAAATAGAAACTATATGTATATAGGTAGATAAATCTAAAACCGTTAATTGATAAAATCCACGTGGAGTCCCATGAATGTTTTTGAAAAAGTCTTACAATATTATAATTGGATATGTAATAAATGCAATGAAATAATAAAAATTTACAGTTTAATTTTAGTTTTCTTATTAATATTGTTTTTTAATTAAACTAGGAACTAGTCTAAAGGTGGTTTTTATTCAAATTTGGCGCTTGCTATCCCTACTATACATTATGAGCGCTCTATCTTGCTCACACGTTCCTTGTTGGTAGAGCGCAAGTCAGTGTCCATCTTCGATTCTCTAATCATATTACATCAGGGTAAGTCAAAATTTGCAAATTTTAAAAGAAAATTTAAATCGTACGAATTCTCTAATAAGTTGCTCCCAACTTTTCTCTTAAGTAACGACTATTCTTAAGTAGATCAGTAAGTGAAAATTGATAAATAAATAAGCTATCAAATCCTAACCAAACAAGAGTGATTACATAAACCTATCTCCAATTCACATTTAACAATTTCCAATAGGATTACGTGTTGGAAATTTGTCTATGGCTCATTGTATGGCCCACTATCTAAAATACTCAAACTTTGAAGTGTTCAATTGTCTCACCAGCTGCAGATCTTTCAGTGACAAGATCAATCCTCTTGTAGAACAGAATCATTTTTGTTCAAGTGTTAATTACATGGAATTTTTCGAAGACTGAATCTATGACATAACTATTTCTGTGACAGGCAATTGTCTGAAATATGCATTTATATATATTTTTTTAGGGATCAATTCCAATTTGTATCTATTACAATGGCAGACAAAGCAGAAGCTGTGGCCAGGCCTATGAAGTTTCCCTACACCTTCTCAGCCAAGCTCGTCCAATTCCCATGGAAACACTACTTCACCAACCAGTGGATCTGGAAGTACTATGCCATTGCTGTTGTAGTCAGCATTCCAATCTTCAAGAAGATCAGCAACTTGGCTAACTCTCCTGAGAATGTTGCCCAGTGGGCTGAGAAGCGTAGGAAGGAGGCAGCTGAACACCACTGAGAAATTCAACCTTAATGGGAAACTAAAACTAGAGATGTTTAAAATATAATAATGATATAATAAACTAGACTTTTTATTTATAATATAGTAAACATTTCCCCAAAATAGTATATAATAAGTACGTGTTAATCAATCAAAAAAAAAAATACTGTAAAGCTGTTACAAAAAAAAATGGCAGTTTCTCTGGCACCTTCATTTTACGTTAAAGCTATTTTAGGCACATTCAATTTATCAAGCTGCTTCTTAGCAGTTTCTCTAATCAATTCGTTGAGCCTTTTGCTCAGTTTTATCAGGATCTCTTTCGTAGGTTTCACATAATAGTTAAAACCCATCTGCCTCTTCAATGCTACCTTTTCAGCGGATCTCAATCTCGCCAAATAAACCATTTTCGTTATGTTACTTCCGGCCTCGAAGGGCTGAACAGTTCCGAAACCGATTGAAACCAAAGATTCGCCTACATTGACGTACTTCATTTGTTTCTAAAACATAACATTAATACTTTAGTAAACTATTTGCTTGATTATATAACAATTACCTTTTCGTTCAGTTGAGAGAAAACGATTTCACATGAAACGCATTTCTCGTTTTTTTCAATAGGGATGAAAGTGACCTCATTGTTAGCCACAATTGACTGAAGCCAACTAACACCATGACCTGTTATGTTCACACCATAAACTTTCACAGGCAATGCAACCTTATTCATTCCAGGTAACTGGATCAATGGTTTATGTTGGATCATCAGAAGAGGACCTGCTGGTTCAATCCTCTCAACAAATCCAGTCAGTTCCCTTCCATTATTTATGAACAATTTAGGTACTTGCTTTGCAGTCTTAAATTTGCTGAACTACAAATATTTTATGAGAATACATTTGTGCTAATATTTTAAACACATACAGGCCTGACCCGCCTCAATGCTATCCCTAAACTGATGAAAGCTATTGAATATACACCAATCTAAAACATTGCATATTATTGTTGATAATAAAAATGCACTTATTGATTTATATTGATCTCACCTGAGTGCCTTTGGTGCTTTGCTTCATAAGATTGCAGTACTTCTCAAACAGCTCCTCCATTCTATCTGCAATCACTCAATTCGTCCACAAACTATATATTATGCTAATAATAACAATTGCCTCATAGATATTCCTCCCTGCACTTTTCTAATCTATAAACACCATTGACAGATGTCTTAATGACATTTAAATATTTAAAAAAAAGATCAAATAAATTAACATAAATTCTTAAAATGTTTATATGATTAATTATAATTTTTTAATCAATCATATAACATTTTCTATGGATGCAAGTGCGTGCTATTAGAATGTAGTCCACTTCGCAACAATTTATGTGAAACATTTACTGGAAATGTTTATTATTTAAGCAACCCAAAACACATTGATGCTAGAAGATTCAATAAACTATCTTTCAATTATTTTTTTTATTGATTTCTATATTCACTTTACATCAAAGAATGGCAGTCCCATTACGAAACTACAAATCAAACTAACAAAACACATCTTTTTTTGTCGAATGGAAGACAAATCTTCAGATCTCTTTGCTTCGTAATAAATTGATCAATTCACAATTACAAGTCAGGTAGCTTCAATAAGAGTAACCAAAACTGCATGTTGTTTTTGGCTTCAACCAAGTAATCTATATATATACTATTCCTTAAATTGTGAAAAGCGAAGATCTTACTTTCGATTTGTATCCAATCAATAAATTGATTATCAAAATATAATACAAAATTTAGTCAAGAGGGAGGAAAACGAAGAATTATGAAATTATTATTATTCGAATTTGTTCTTATATGAAAATGTTCCCACTATTGATCAAAATAGTTTGACTCGTTCATGAATAACTTTTCTTCATAAATTTCAGTAAAAACAAGTCCTGAAATTTTCTTTCATCTAATGAATGCCTCTTGTTTGTTAATATATCTGTAGTTCTATTTCAATTTCACTCTATATTTGTGCTTCTTATTTGATTGAATTGTATCTAGTATATGCTCTTGAATTTGAAAATATTGTAATGTTCTTCAAACTTTTAATTCATAATCAGACAGAGTTCAGTCGTAAATATAGAAGCTTTTGTCTAATATGTTAATATTAGAATTTATCTAAGTTTTTGAATTAAAAATTGTTGAGCTATGCAACCACATGTACGAGGAAATTTATTTTTACTTATGTATTTTTATCTTGCGGTTTCCACTTTAAGATATCTAGACCTTGTTATTGTTGTTTGGCTAGCATATTAAAACGTGTCTGAGTTTGGTTTGGAGCCATCAGTAAATCGGTTCTTAGTAATTGCCTTTTTTGTTTCTTTTTCTATTATTGCTCTTCGTCGGTCTCGTGAAAAGAGGAGAAAAAAATCATTGGCGCACGTTAGTTGTATTGGTTGCACGGTGCAGACGTTGTAATGTTGAAGTTGTTAACAAGTTAGGAATTGGTTATAAAAGCGACGCCGTCGCGCTTTGGATTTGTTTTGGAGATTGGTTGTTCATTTAGAGATTGGTAAGTAATTAGTAGGAATGCAGTGAGTAATGCGGGGGGAATGCACTCCGCCTACGTCACTGGGTCGGCCTGTTAGTTTGACATTTTACGAGATTGTCGCCATTGTGATTTGCAAAACTAGCTGTAAGTTTTTTACGAATTTCGTTAATAAAAACCATCGTCAACGGGGAGATTCCGCTCGGATCGGATGACCTAGAACATGGGTCATCTGATGAACCTACCGGCGGGTCGCGGATCCTCGGTTTTCCCTGTGAATTCCGCATGTGAAATTCGGCCACCCCGTTTTGACAGCTTACAACACCAACCTTTTCATGCTTATTATTATTATTTTCATCATCATCGTCGTCGTTGTCGACTTGTGTATATTATATTTACATGTCATTTACCCCCACATTGGAACTGAGCCTGTTTTCCTGCGCCCTTTCTTTGAAAGATGTTTAACGATATGCATTTTCGTTATGTAGAATTCGTGACGATGATTCCTGGCAATGTTGATCCACGCAGACCAGACAAAGTCCAGAGGTATAAGGCCCCACAGGCTAATGGCAATGCACCCGTTGAGGATCTCACACCAGATTACATGAACATTTTAGGTACGTACACTTCACTTAGCATTCAACTGAATCCTAATGATCTCCCATTCCAATTATGTAAACATGCTAATTATTCCAGCGTGCATATCTCTGTTTATGCATGTATCCTTGTTTTGACGACATATCTAAAAGATGGATACTTGAGGTCAGCTATTACTGGAATCGCTGTACTATTTATAAATTCTTAATCTACATTTATAATGACAAAAGTTTCCTATACCCCTTTGCACCCATCTTGTGACATAATTACCAGTTGAAAATCAAAATCAGGTGAAACATTATAGTAACAATGATCCATCATGATTATATTTATACTGCATTTATGTTTGACTCATTTAATTTCTGATTACATTGTATTGTGAAAACAAACTATGACTATTTGAATTACCCGAAACAACTGCTGCAAACAACATTGACCAAAAATATATTAATTAACTTTCAGTATACAATTTAAGTACTTTAAATATTAATTAATGATTCCTTCATAATTAGTAATCATATTGATTACTAGTTTTACCAATATTCTAATTGTATTTTTAATGACTGAATATAAGCAACATTAGAATCTAAATTTCATGAAGATATTTAATTGATGGCGTTCGCTTTACCTTAAAGTGAATGTAATGAAATGAATTTCTAAAGTGATTTGAAATTAAGACCCGTTTATTCACGTAAATAGTTCTCAATTTCTATAAAATTGTTATATCTTTCCGCATATTTCACATTTTATTTTATAATAATGAGATTAAATAATTACATGACCTAATACCAAACTTTACGAATGTTTGGTTTTTGTTTATTCTTGTGCGTATTTGTTGTAGTAATCAGACCTTGCAGCTAACGTGACACAAACATAAATACTATATTCCCTAAGTGTTTAGAAGAATAAATCACTAAGTTAGTTCGTTATTTTCAATTTCGTAGTAATATTTAACATTTATTTACTTAATAATTATATTTGTCTCATATGTGAAGAAATTGCTGGAGATTATTTTTAATATCCGGTTTTAAAATAGTAGTTCTGAGATATGTATATAAATTTATTAATGTTCAAGGTTCATCTTGATTCCTGTAATAGGTGTAATTGAATTAGCCATAAAAAGTAAGCGGTTCTACTTGATTTTAACACACAACATTTTTGATGGTCGATTCAAATTAAATTTCTTTTTACGATAAAATATATCGATACGCAGATTGTATTTTAAACAACGGAAAAGTTTATATTAAATTGAGAGTTCGATAACCTATGAACTTCAAGTGATCTACTGCTTGAATTGCATCCATTTGATTAGCAAAAAACTATTGATAATATTATTTACTACTTGTCGATATTGATCAAAATCATCCCCGAAAGCCCCAGAACTCTTAAAAAAAGTACATATCAGGAAGAATGTAATAAAATCCGTTAAAGTTTAAAAAGCGATGTTCGATTTCAAATTGCTAAAGTTAAAATGCTAACGGTTTGCATTCAACTTTTCTAACTCGGTGTAGCTATTAAATATATATGGAAGTTGTGAAAAAGAGGATTGCCTGAAAGTAGTTTCGATCTGTAGGAAAGTTGTGAATTATTTTATACTTTATTCTTTGCAAAGTTTGAACCAACTGTCGCCAAAGCTGACGGTGACAAGTGCTTACGTCTGTACATGTTTTTCGTTTGATTGCAAAACAAATGCGTAACTAAAGTTCGAGTGACGTACGCACATCAATTTGTTTTCAGTTAATTTCACTCTCTTTTTTCTCTCTCTCTCTTTATTACGCAATCGAATTGAATGCCCTTGGATATTGGATTTGTAAACAAAAGTTGATGTGTTTGCGTACGGTATGTTTCTGTTTGCGATTTGTTTGATATATGCATTCGATTCATCTACTTTCTCTCTAAACTTTCCCTTCTCTTTCTCTATCGATGTGTGGTCGAAGCACACTTCTCTTCACGCCTCTTTGGTGTCCTGAAATGTGCAACAAGCTACGGATTGGAAATCGCGATTGTTGCTTGGATTTTTGTTAGTTGCGAGATGTTTTCATTGCATTCGCACACGGAGATATGATGGGAATGTAAAAATAGATCGAGTGACCTTATTAATTAAGGTACACTCGCACCATACTTTAAGTATTATATTTGTTATTCATGTGGTTCCTCAGTTTCTTTTTTTTATCTATTCCATTTACGCTAATTAGTCGATTACGCGACCAATTGTGCTATTTAGTATTTACTATTAGTATTATGACAGAGTAGTAGTTTTGCGATCGGCAGTATTTAGTATTAACGTGACCAACTCTTGATGTGCAGTGCTGCACTCGAAGCGGAATGTGCGGGCTCGAGTAATATTCTCTTCCGTTGTTATCTTTTAATAGCTTGTGTTTGTATATATGTACACATATATATGTATATATATATACATATATATTTTGTATGGGTTACTGGGTGTGTGTGTGTGTGTTTGTTATTCTTGGATAAGGTATTTTTATTTCTATTTATATGAATCTTGGGAGCGAGTGAGGTAGGCGAGGTGAACGTGTGGCTGACAGAGTGCGAGGAATGTGTGGTGGAGCTTTGTAAGTGCATGGATGGCCATCCTCTCCAAGACACCAAACGGGGGAGGTGATAACTTGCAACTACGAAATAGTTACCACATTCTGGATAAGTGCGATGTACGTGCGCGACTGACGAGCCGAATATTGCAATTTAACATCTAATGGTGAGACAACTACCATATTACCATACTTGTTCTATATTAAGCAGATACTCGCAAACGCCTTCCTTCTCTTTTTCTCTCAGTATTCCTTACCATGCGTAGACTATATGCCGACAGATTCATTATTCAACGCGATACTGTAATAATAAGCAGAAGAAGATAATCTATATTGACTAAGTGCACTCATCTCCTCAGTTGACGGGCTATCGACCGCAATGTTTCTGCTAGCACGATTTACCATAATAAGGTTTAAATATTTCACGCAGTAATTAGTCAGTTTCCAGCAGCTTCCGAAATAACAACTATCCTCAATACTCTTCAAGTACAAACCAAACGGTCATGTGTGTCGCGTTAAGGTGAAAGGTGTGTCACAGGTAAATAATTATTCCTTATTGGGATCTATCAACAAATATATCGCGAGGTGTGCCGCAATGTAGAATCACCAAAGTTTACGTTAATTATTTAATCTTGACAACTCTATGCAAAACATTGCTATTTCTTCACACATGGTTTACAAATACAAGTTTCGTTCAAAATTAATAATATTTAATAATTCCAAATCATATGATTATATTTCTTTTATATTTTGAAGCTTAAAAAATAATTTTAATAGTCTATTTTCAATGTAATGGTAATAAATGCATTTTAATCGATGGATCTTTAACAAGTTATAAGAATGCACTGTTCAGTTGCATATCTTTTGTCAATGATAATGGAATTAATATCGTTAACTTATCCTTGTTTAGTCATGTGGCTTAAACAAAACAATGCCAGCTCGATAATTGCTCAATAATTGAACGATGAATCAGATGATATACTAAACAAACGAAAACATTTACATAGTCTTGTCTTCGTTTTGTCAACTGGTAGAATAATTCAGTTTACTACATTTATGAAATGTTTATTCCTTTGCACAGGTTTAAACGTAACATAGTAATTAATATCCTATGTTTCTTCCACAAATACAAACAATAATATATCAATGTGATTAATTTAAAACATTATTTTTATTGTTTTTAATCTTGATGGAATCGATCACTTTGATTCATTTAAATAATAATAATCTTTATTGCAACAGTCACGTAAAAAAATAAACATTTTCATTTAATAATAATAATCAAACAAAATAGATTAACTTCTGCAAAGGTCATTTAAATGATATTTAATTTTTTTTAACTATTTCATTGTTGCGACTTGAATAAGTGATGTATAAAATGACGATTGCAACAATGCTTCTTGAGTTTAAAGTAATTGTAATGTAAGTTTACGATGCACAGTAAACTGCAAATTTGTTCTTTAACTGTTATATCGTATCAGATTAAAATATACATTGATTGCGTTAAGTATAATAAATAATATTAATTGCAACAATAAAAAATATAATTTAATAATAATAATGAAACAAAAAGTCAACTGCTACAAAGCGCTATTAATCATAGGTCTTTCTACTCCGTTAATTATATTATTTTACGGGTGGAAAGACTACGGTCGATAGTCGTCAATGGTTTCATTTTGAGTCTGGTCGTAATATTTTAGTTTAATTATGTTTATGATAAATTAATTTATAAATATTTCTGAACGTCTTTACATTATTTGACTTCAATTAATTTGTTATTTAGTATTTTTCATTCCAAGATTTTCTTCTATATACAAATAAATTATTTTTATCTTCTTTTTAAATTAGTATGATTGGATGTCAATGCTGTGAATTTAATTTGTGAAATTTTTAGTCCTTTTGTTGTGGCGTCTTCTTAAACAATAAGCATTGTCAGTAAGTTTTGTTATAATGAATTAAATATAATATTATATTTCATTTCATTTATTTTGTCGGATTCAAAATTTATCGCTGTTGTGTTGAAAACACGTCTCAAAGAATTTGCAAACTATATATGTTGACGCGATATTTAGTATTCATTAAACAATGAATAATTTGTATACCACTTTATTTCTGCGTGTTGTGGATGGTGATTTTTTTATATTTATTATTATGTATTTTGTTATTTTATGTTTGTTACTTTAAATTAAAAAAATAAGCAGAGCCATATTGAGTGACTAGTGGGTACAAATTAAATCTGTAGAACCCTCCCCGTACTCGTTATGTGTGCATGGATGGGTTAACAAGGTTAGCAAAACAATGCAGTTGCAATTTATATAACAGTTAAATAAATAAAATGCAATCTCCAAAAATAAATTTACAAAAAAAAAACTAAACGAAAAGAAAAGTAATTACCTGTTGCATTCCGTAGGTCCTGATTCGGCCACGGCAAATGCTGCAGAGGCTTCGGAAATTGTGAAAAGCGCAGAACCGCAACCACAACAGCTAGTGCAGCCGTCCCAGCCGCAGCAGGAGGACTCTCTTTCGTCGGAGTCATCAATCCAGTCTACGAATGGCACCAATGTGATACCCACAAGTCCTCAATATGGTGTCGCCATAATGTCGAACGACGTGCCGTCAGAGGCGACCACCGGGTCCACAGATACGGTTGTGGAGACGACAGCGAAGAGTGAGGGCGAGGGTGGGGGAGGTGGTAATAACAAGGACATGCATTCGACGCCGAGTAGGAACGACCGATTCAAGGTGGTGAAGATCGCGAGTCTGGAGCCGTTCCGGCGAGGACGCTGGAAATGTATGGACTACGTAGACGAGAATCCACCGCCTGCGATCTCGCAATCCAAGTCTTCACAGTCGACGTCCAATCTTCAGATGGGCAATAACATATATCTGCAGACGCAGAGCCTACCACAGCAGCACTTTCAGCAGATGCTTGTGCAGGGAAACTTTGCAAATGCGCCTCATTACTACAACGTGCCCTCGCAGATGATGCCACAATCTCAGTACTATTATCCGGCGCAGAGCATGCAGCAGTTACCGCCTGGTGCGATTCAGCCGCAGTTCATAAACGCTGGTAATCAACAATATTTTGCGCAGAATGTGGTGCCGCATAGTGCCGCTTTCAGCAATTATACGAACGTGCAGTACGTCCCTTCGAATCTCATCCAGAACCAGGGCAGCGCCTTTGTGCCTACCACACAGAACGTGGTGAATTCCCAGCTGCCACCCAACTTCCAACAAAGCCAGACGTATGCCGGGCCTCCGAGCGGAGCCCAACCCATAGTCAACGGCCACGCCTATCCGCCGCAGCCAAGCGAGCCTCAGGTAGTGGTAGCACCTAGCAGTCTTCCCACGCAGGTGGCCAAGAACGTGATTCTAACGCCAAACGCGCATCAGATCCCTCCTACAATAATGCCCACCTCCAACAATCCGAACATGCAGCAGCAATACACGAACGCGGCGGCTTATGCTGCCAACCAGAACATCACACAGGTTGTGTCGACGGTGCCTATCGTACCCGTTGTCAGTGCCCAGAGTGTCAACCACATACCGACGAGCGTGCACCAAGTGCCGTCACTGAGCAGTGTCATTCCTCAACAGCAGCATCAACAGCAAAGCGCGACGACGGCACCGGCTTCTGCTGCAGTCGCCGCTGTTGTCGCCGCTACGGCCGTCACCCTTCCGAACATTATTATGCAACAGCATCAGCCGCAACATTACGATCCGAACATGCCGACCAACGTGTACACGAATCCACAGTTNNNNCCCGTCGTGAATGCTATCGATAACAAGATTGAGCAGGCCATGGACTTGGTGAAGAGCCATCTTATGTATACCGTCCGCGAAGAGGTCGAGGTACTGAAGGAGAAGATCGCTGAACTGATGGAGCGCATCCAGCAGCTGGAGACTGAGAATACCTTCCTCAAGCAGCAGATCCCAAAAGGGACTAACACGAATCCGAGCGGCACGCCTGACCCACCGCAATAGTTTCGCCCTTCCAGCCGCCGCGCCCCGATCACGAAGAAACTCGACAGAGAAAAAAGGACTTTATTTCAATTCTATTTTACCTTTGTTTATGCTTTCTATATTTATAGGATTACTTTTTCACACACATACGGAAAAGTTAGAATGATTGATAGAAATACGTATATATGTATACTATACAAGGCGGACAACAAATAGAAAACAGGAAAATGAAACCGTTCAACCATAGATCACGTTATTGGCTTCTAAAAATATATATTTATTAGAGGAAGACACGCATGACTAATAAGAAGACGAAGTGACGGAGGAAAGTTTGAAGTTGACTTTAAATGCAAAAGAAGGGAAACGAAATTCTGTAAATTATGTAATTATTGTATAAAAGGAATGATATATATATATAGATTATATATAAATACTGAATATATCTATATATAAATATGAATATATTAGCATGATTATCAATAAAAATGAGAGCCAAATTCTATTCGATTTTGGTGCTATTCGATATAAATATATAAATAGAAAAGGAAGAAATGGAAATAATTAAAAACAAAAAAAGAACGATGGAAAATACTGTGATTATGTGCGTTTTGCGATTGATTTTCATTTTGATTCGTTATGATCATTTATACTCTCACTTTCTCTCTAAATCTATCTCTCTTTGTTGCATTAAAAAAAAACATGTAAAGGAGAAACGGAAAATACAATATTTATCTTATAGAGAATATATGCTTGTATTCTATATATTACTGCATCCATTGAAAAGGCCAAAAGATTTTATTTCTTATTGGTATTTCCCACGGTATTGATTTAAAACGATTGGAAAATTACGTAGCTACTATATATACATATGCCTATTGATATGTAACGACTAAATGTTTTTTTTTTTGTAATTTAGTTTTACTTTATTTTTTATTTAGGCTTCAGTAGAGGCTTTATTAATTATATGCGAATACCTGTATGTATTTGCAAGCCTTTAAAAAAATCGCACACATTCATCTATTAACAGCCGCATAAATCGAGAAGAAAGTATTTTAAATTAAACATTGATTAACTATTGTTTGTCAAACATTTTGCATTAGAGGCTGTATTGTAAATATCGCAGGGTGGTGTTGATATCTCACGCATCCATTTTGAGCGCGGCCTTTCCACAAAGACCACCATATCCATCACTTTTATGTTTTTTTCAGTTTTCGTTCATTGACATATTTATGTCTATGTCCTTTTCTTTAAATAATAAATTTCTACATTCATTAAGATCATAAAAATCAAAGTATTGTGTCTCGCAACAACTAAAAAGAAAGCAAGTTCTCTTACAAGTGATAGGTTTTTATTTTCGGTATCGTTTTTCATTTTCCATCCAACTTGCTTGACTGTAACGTGAGAAACTGAAGAAGCTTCTAAATCAGTAGTTAAAGAGTACGTTATAATAGTTATTATTATTTAATAGACTTATCAGTTAGAATTTTATCTATATATGTTATATATGTATTCGCAGTATACTCAAAGCAAGCTAAAATAATGGAAGGAAAAGAAAAACTTATTTTTATTTTTTATTATTGTATTATGAACAATTCTTAGATATACACATACATATTTGTAATTCGCTTCTCTTTCGTTTTGTATTGTAAAACAAGTAAGCACAGTGAGATTTTCTACTACTACTACTATTATTTATATTGTGTTTGTTGTTTCCGCCGTATTATTTTCTTTCTTATATGTTTTGGTCTGTGTGTGCGTCTGTGTCCCATTGGTTGATATGTTGGTTTCGTTTTTGTCGTATATGTTTGTGGATTGGATCTGAGGAGAAAACGTGCGCATTTAGTTTATTCGGCTTGGCGGGTACACGGCCCACTCTCCGCCCCTTCCGGATTTCTGTAGTTTGAGTGGCGAAAAGGGAAAGGAATGAATAAGACGAAACGACTACATTACATGAACTAGACTAAAGAAAAGAGGAATTAAGAAAAAAAAACATAAAAACAAGATGATCGAAAGATTCGTGGAGGAAAAAAATGAGTAGACTTTTATGGCTGTGTTGTTATTGAGAAAAATTATTGTAATTGTTTTTTCTTGTAGCATAATATGGAAAACACAAAAAAATTAAATACTATTATTATATTAAATATATTATTATTATACTATTATCATCATTATTACTCTATATATATATGCATATATATACATATATACATTAGTCAAAAACACATATTATTTTATAATATATATGTATATATATATACACTACATATTCACACATGTTTATTTTTTAATATAAGTTCTGTTCACGCAAAAGATACTATAATTATTTTTCTTGTTTTAATTTTTATTATTGTTCAAATATTTTTTATTTTACATATATATATATATTTATTATTTTATTCATTTTCCACACTTATATAAGACACAATAAATACTTGAATTCCCGCAGTGCAAGGAGATGATGAACAATTTGAGGCAAAAGCAGCGGCAACCAGAAGAAGATGAAGTAAATGTTTATAATAATATTTTTTAGGTTGTTCACATGTAAACTGAACTACTACTATATTTTACTACTACACTACTGAAAGATATTCGAGAAATAAATACATATTTAATCAATGCAACCGCTCTTATTTCGACTGTTTTACGTTGATATTTGCACTAAACTTGTCGTAATGCGAAGTACTTTAATTACTAAATATTCTTTGGTTTTTAGGCATGGTCTTCAGCATGTGCGGTCTCATGATGAGACTCAAATGGTGTGCATGGGTTGCCCTCTACTGCTCATGCATCAGTTTTGCCAATTCTCGTATATCCGATGACACCAAACAGGTAAAATCTTCAAAAAATAACTAATAACATGATATTCGATATTTTGATTGTAATAATTTTAAATGGATTCTCTGTTTCTTTTAATTGCAGATCCTCAGCTCTTTCATGCTGTCCATCTCGGCCATAGTTATGTCATATTTACAGAATCCGCAGCCGATGACGCCTCCTTGGGCTACAGCAGTTAACTAACTATTACCTTGATTAATTTCCATTTAGTCTTATTTTCATTTTTTTTTTGTTAGAACATTCAGAAACCATGAATGCGACTTTGTTCACATGCTATCTTGTGAAATGTTGCCTATTGTTATCTTGGTTTGATTTATTTCAATTAAAACAGTTTAAGGTTTATTTTAGGTGTCACCATTAATCATATTGCACATGGAAAACAATCCTGGTTATGATTAAATTACAACTGTAAACTGATACCTATTAATCCTTTATTTATCCTTAATTTTTATTATCTTAAATAATAGTGCTCATATCTACATCAATATGATTTAGTATAAACAAAGAAATCAGAGTCACAGTTGTGATATTTCCAAACAATATCTGTAAGTTATTTATTTATTAATCAAATTAATTTTTGAGGTTCTAGAAAACGTGATTAAAGGATATTGTTGATTTTGAAGAAAAACATAAATATTGAAGATGAAGTATTTGAAGCAGATATCAAATGAAATTTTGATAAACAATAATATATTAATTGTCAAATAAATGAACGTTACATTTTTCTGTTGTATTGCAAATGAATGAAAAGGGATTGGTTTTAAGAAAGGAAAGATCAAAAATTAAAACATTTATTTTCACATATAGTGAACCTAGTATGTACAAAATAATTATTCTGAAATTAATCACATATCTTTGTTATGGTTCTCAACGGATTTGCTGCAGTTCTTGTTAGTTGATAAGGCACGTAATTTGATAATTAAATATAGAGCTGGAGGTCGCTCCAGCTCATAGCGCCACATCCCTGTATTTCTGCACGTCATCCGCGGAAGTGTTGCTCAGCGAGTTTTTGCTGCTTAGCTTGTCGATCTGTTTCTTGTAGATTAAGAAGTCTGGCCCATCAAGTGGTCCATAGTAGATGGGAACTCCAAAACTTTCTATGGGTTGCGCGTAGAAGCCCGTCCTGTTTCTAATCATGTGACCATCTTCCTTGACTTCGTTGAGGTCTTCCAACGAAGCGAACTTGGGCAGTTTCGTGGCCGCCTTCCTTCCTAAACTCAGGGTGTACTGAGGCGGCATTACCGAGGGCGCATGGCTCTGCGAAATCCACGGCTGGTATTGACTAGTCAGCGTCTTCTCGTCCAATCCACGGAGATCCATCAAGGATTGAGCTTTCTTAGCTGAAAGCAACCAAAAGTTTAATACTATCTCTGATATAAATCTATAATAACTACCTTGATCCGTAGCGTTGGCGTCATTGATAAACTTCGGCATGAAGACGCTCGCATTGAATTCGCTCTGCGTCGTGCAGAACTGGTAACTGTCGAAAGGGTAATTGTTTGGTACGTTTCCGCCCCAGATCTGCGGAGTCGACGAAGCTCTGTAACAGTTTTAAAATGAAATATCGGTGTTCCTATTCCTCATCTATTTACTAACCGTTTGAGTCCTATGACGTTGAGCTGCTCGACGGAACTTTGATAGCCGTTGTTCTGATAATACTGACTATTCAATTGGTTAAGACTAGTATCCCTGGGAATCGTGACTGCTTGAAGACTCAGGTCCCTCAATCGTTTTGCCACCAGCTCCTCTTCCTTCCATGCTGCGTACAGAGATTGCACGATGATAATTTCGATGACATTAGCCAGAATCCTTGCGAACCAGCAAGCCAATTCTGTTACACCGTACAATGATTCTATCCGCTGCAACAAATCCAACTTGTATAAAATACTTGCAAATATTACCTCTCATTCTTCTTACCCAATACTGGATACTCATATAAATTACCATTCCCGCCTCTGGGAACGTGAGGACCGTGACCGCGAACATCCATGATATCAGACATAACGTATTTTTCTGCAAATATTAAAAAAATACATCAATTAGTCGTTAATTACAATTAGTAATAAAAATAAATTTACTTGAATAAATTGATTAATAGTTATACTAGAGTTTAGATACCTGGGGTAAGTAAAATAATACATTTAGAGGGTAGAAATTATACTCAAACTCGTTTTATTACATATTAAATTTTACATATTAAATTATATCGCAAGACCGGCAGCCGAAAGACCGTCTATTGAAATCCTGACTGTATTAAAGTCCTGACGCTTGAAATATTGAGTATGTCAAAATCCCGACAATCAAAATCCCGACTATATCGAAATCCTGACTACCATAAAAATGTTATTGTAGAAATTTATAATAATAAAAGACACTGTCGGGATTTCGATATAGTCGGGATTTTGACATAGTCGGGATTTTGAGGCAGCCGGGAATTCGAACGTCGAGATATCGATTGACGGGCTTGCGTTTACCACCGAAGTTTTACTGGTAATTGCCAACCTCTTTACACTCTTTGTTCCTGTAGTCGGGAATTAAAACGGGCGTGTCCGCGGTCATAAGGTTGGGAACCCCTGCTGTAGACTTACCATATAGATTTAATTAATTTTAAAACTACATAAAACAATATAACTCGATACTTTTATCATCTACAAATTAATTGTTATTAAACAAAGTTAAAGGTGACGTGCATTTCATAATTGTTTACTATGCTATTTTTTAATTACATGATAATTTAAAAACAATATTTAATGAGTAAAATATAGTAGCAGCTATAAGAAACATGCTCTAAATTTAATAACAGCGTGCAACATTAAAACGGTAGCCTTTTCGATTTCACACAGAATGCACTAATACAATTAAATACTTGATCGCAAGGCCGTCGATGATGCCGATCCGGAGGTAAAACCATATTAATCGACGACGAGAATCCAATTAAATGGCTACAGAATTACGAAAATAAAAAAGAAATTCGTACATTTCAGAGCAAGGTCGAAAAACATTATAATTAAACGTTAAAAAGAAAACCCTTTGAAACTATTGATTATACATTTTTTTTTTGCAACTAGTTTACATAATCGAAACTTGCTGTTTGTTGTTGATCCCATTATTTATTGCTTAGAGTAATTTTTGCTGCGATTAAGAAAAGAAAGCTCGATGGAAATGGACTTTCTTCTGGGATAGTTAAAAACATTTATGGAAGAAACATTGATAATGTAAACAGTTATAATTGCGGATTAACCGTGATGTTGAATGTAACTTTTGCATTTGAATTAGAAATTTTATTATTATCCTGTTATTATCATTTTTCTTTATTAGTATTTCGCGATTCGATAGAGCGTGAGCTATTTTATCTTGAGAAATACTTGATGGTAAATTAAAACGGCAGTTGGGGAATAAATGCAATTAGTTGTTTTGTTCTTCATTGAAATCTGACTTTCTTCTTTTCAACTGCGTCTTTATTTTTCTTACCGTGGCTAAGCCGTGGATGAGGAGGGCAGCGAATAGGGCCAAGGCGAAGTAACCTGCGCAGAGGAGGATTGCCGGTGTGGGTAGAAGGACGGACGCCTCCAGGATCCAGAGCAGCTCGAAGGCGAAGGCGATGAGGTACGTGATCTGGAACAATTACAACAGGCTTAAAATAATACAATTTGAGGATCAATAGTAAAGCAATATTGATCCTCAATTTGAATGAGGATTAATATTTATGGATGCGTATATAGATGACGCGATGATACATCTTATTGTTGTTCTCATAATTGAATATGGCTTTGTCATAAGGAAGAGGATGGCGCGCGGCTTTGGCACGAAGAACAAAGGTGACTTTGAGTGCCGCAAATCGATGCGCCAAATACCTTCGTAATGACTGATCGCATTTCCATAAAGCGGATCGCGAATTGTTTGCGGCCTTCTGATCATTCCTTGTACGTGGAAAACGTCGAGAATTTTTCCAATATTTGCTCATCAAATGGATTGCTTCTGAAAGCTGATCCATATACTGAGAACCATCCACTAGTATTAAATACTAGTTCAATAGTTCTATGATGATACACAATTTTTATTTAACGTTGATACTCAACTAACTAAAACGTATCAAAATTGTAATAATATATTTAAACCCTTCTAACAATAGTTCACATTAAATGTAAAAATATGACCGAAACCAAGTAAATGCCTCTTAAAAGGTAATAACCTGATTTCTTTAAAATTCTTTATATTTTGAATAATTATACTCACAATTACCAACAAATTTTAAATTTAAATTATCAAAAATAAATGAAAAACATTACAGAAGATAAATACTTAACATTACAAATATAGGGCTTTTATCAATAAGATTTTGCAAAACTTGTTAATATCTATATAGAATATACATTTCATATCTATAAATGTGATATAAAGTAAATCGATTTATAAATAATATTTGGGAATAATTTAAGTCCCAAAAAATCGACTGAAGGTTGTGAGTTAATTTACTTTTTTTTTAGTTTTCTTTAAATACATAATGGACTGGTTTTAGTTGGGCGTATAGTTTAAATTAACCTTTTAAATTTGTTTGAAATAAGTTGTTAATAGTAATCCACTAATATAATCATTCTAATACTATTTTTTGCAAACCGTTTGACTTTAACTTTTTGCACATTAATTAGCATTAGAGAAAACTCTTAAGTTACTTAAATTTCAAACATATATAGATATAAATGAGTAGTCTAATTGTATATAATTAAATTTAAGTTTCTACCTTTTCTTTCAACAAATCTTCACTTCGGATTTCCAACCAGACTTGCAAATACAGTGGAACCTCGCTAAACGAGCAAAATAAATTGTAAGAAAAAATGACTCGCAAAATGTAACGCATTATCGTATATTACATTAGTTTATATGGGGGAAATTGTTTCACTAAACAAATAAAAGTCCAGAAATTTTGGAACGAATTATGTTCGTTAAGCGAGTTTCCACTGTATTCCAAATCAATATTGAATTATTAAAATATTTTTAGATAATGATGCAACAGCTATATTACAAAAGCCGGTGAATAATTGCGAAATACTTAGTTGGTTGAATCACGAGTTTAATTGTATACTTCAACGCTTCCAAAGAAAAATATGAATAAATTTGTTGTTTAAATTCCATAATATGTATTTTTTTCTTACAGAAAATTAGTAATAAGAAAAATGCATTTTCTTTTCCTTTTTTTTTCACATTTATCACAGAACTGACGGATAACATTGTGTTTTAATTGAATTAGATGCAAATTCCAGTTTACTTTCTACATATGGAACACAGTTTCTAATTATGATTGTATGCAAATGCGGTTCTTGTATTTACCGACTACGATGATGTTTGGTTCCGTCTGCAGCCGGAGTAAAGTTACTTCTTTTTTTTTTCTGTAAATAATTTCTATCCTTCGTTTTCCCTCTCTGGACACAAATCATATTCACAATTCGTTCCAGATTAGACATACGGGTTTTAATTATTAATTTTACGCTCAGCCACATTTTAAATATTGCTGTGAAATTTGCGAAATTCACGTAACGACAAACAGCAAGAGCAGTTTACTTATACATTCATTGTCTTCTTTAATATCTTATTACTACCACATCTTTGGTGTTTATTCAAATACTTTAGAAAACAAAATTAATGTTTTTTCTCAAGTTGACTCAAAAGATTTATTTTTATAGTTGAATGAAATCAAAATTTAGACTCTATATCACATCAATTATTTCAATATTAGATAACATAAAAGCATTAAGAATTTAATTAAAATAAGAAAAATTTACTACAAAAATATCTGTCTTTAGATATATATTAGGTGTTGTTTACTAATAGTGAAGCATATATTTTTTAAAAGAAAACGTTGATCTCATGGAGAGAGTTTTACTATTGTGTGTACATTGAAGAAATGGTAATTTTTTGGGGAACGAAATGGTGATGCAAATGCGACGAGAGTGAAAGCATTGCCCGGATTAACAGCTATCGTTCAGTTTGCATTCATATTGTCCGGACTCGTTTTTTTTTTTCTTCTTTCTTGCCGCTGCTCATGTAAATGTCCGTATATGTTCGCCGCATTTTTTTTTATTTGCTTCCTTTTCGTAGCCAGAAGGAACGAAATAAAGAAAGTCGCCTTGGCTAAAAGATTGCTTACGCAATCCGGCGGCTTCGTGCGATCTTTCTCGCACACTCAAGTCTATTTGAACTGGAATTATGAAACTATACATGGTGATTTAGGCTCAAGGAAAAACGCGTTTGCAGAAAGTCTATTTGTTTTCAAATTATTATTATTATTACATGGGAAATGTGCGCGAAATGTGTTAGAATGCTGTTAATTTCAAAGACATTTTCACTTGCTAAACGCTTGTAGAAATATTTACCAATCTCCGCGTCGGTAGAAGAATTCCGTTTGCAAACTTAATTATTTAATTAAATGTTAAAAGCACTTTATGGATCCGGTTTTCGGGCAATTTAGTCTTCGCATTCTGAGAAATTATTTCCGTTTCCGCTTCGCTCGATTTCCAAACATCTGTATTGGATTTTTCGACCTAATCCTTCTTATTTTTGTTCTATGTATCTATATTTACAATCATTAAGAAAATGTCGTTGATACTCATTATTTCATAGTATAATCGTATATAGTTTGAATTGCAACTATACTAAGAACAGTTTTTTTACAAAATGGATCTTTGCGACTTTAGTCTTGTAATTCGTATATTTTAAGATTCTTATTGCTACATTGCTTTTTAATGTACAATGTAAATGAAGATGACTCAATAGAGAGATCCTCGGTAATTGCCAGAATAAATAGTTAGTAATTACAAATAATAACAATGTATTTATTTACAATATGCACCACGCTATGCAATTTCGATTGGAAAAATCACACTTGTACCAAAGTTACTTTATTAGCAAGTAGTTAGTTTCCAACGTGATTTTGGACTTTTAGATAAAAAATCGAAATTTTAATTATTATAATATTCTAATTAACAACAATTGCGCGGGATTTTATTAAGTATGCATTCAGTTCATAAAACTGTATGTGTGCACGAGATAAAGGTAGCGAATTTCTCATTTTCACCGCGCTAGATTTGCATGCAAATCGTATAAATATTGTACTTATTGAATTTCTCATGCGATTTATTCCTTCTTGTTGTTGGAACAAGGTTTCCGTTCAAATTGCATTAGCACGTAGGCTCACGAGATGGATGTGTTGTAGTTGGCGGTTTTTGCAAAACTCCATTTTGCAACAGAGGTGTAACTGTTTTTTTTGTATTCTCTTTCTCTTTATTTTTATTTACATCAGTTTGTATGCGTCAAAGGATTGAGGGAGGAGGCTCCAAATACGGTAGACCATCGCGAAATTTCGAAAGACGTGCCGGAAGAGCATGCAAGCATTCGCGCACAGTTATGGAATGCGGGAAATTACAATATTCGCAACTATGGTGTGCAGAGTGTGTGATCATTGTTCGAAGGAATCCTTTGGTCACCAAAAACCGACAGCATTCGTAACGATCTTATTAAATCCTTTAAGAGAGAGAAAGTTTTCTTCTGAGAAAGTTCCAAGCCTACTGAAATAATATAGATTTTCCAGTTCTCTTATGCAAATCAGCGTTTTCCATTTCCATTTTTTTTTACTCTTAAGTCATCTGAATTGCGCGATTACCATCCGCAGTTAATCGTGTGAAAACTTCGTGTGAAGACAATGGACAAAGCGAAATTTGGTAATTGTCCTTGCGCATTGTCATCACATCTTAAGAAAATCATTCATTCCTTACTCCATCGAATCGAATCGTAGTTTCCGCGCGCGCGAAACATCGGAACTGCACTCAGCTTCACTTTTAGGTAAAACGAATTTCAAGGATTTTATTTACGTAGCAAGTGCGCAATACATATTTTCAATATGCAAAGGTGTGTTTCGCTTATTATTTTTTAATGCCGTGTATTAATGACTAACAGTTTATTAACCAATTATTGTTCGATGATAAAAAAAAATAGTCTAATGTGAGTTTTATCAAATATTGCTGCTTAATTATCACTTATCGATGATTATTTTTCATATTATTTACAAGAAACTCAAGGACATTTTCCCTTTATTTATTTTTAATCATTTTGCCAAAGGCTATGTAATTTATCATAATTGTAGACTGTACTAATTAGATCAACAACCAGAGCAATAACAATATAATAAATGGTGTCATACCGTGTAATATTTCTTAAAAAAAAACTATTTCTAAAGGTTGTATGGTAAATTGCGCTTGAATAAGTAATATTGTTACTTATATGCGTTTTTATATCAAACTTAGATAATAAGATGTAAGAGTATTTTTAACAGATTAATTAATGTTACTCCTATCTTTATACGAGTTCTTGAAAACATATAATTTCAGATATTAACCTGATTAAAGTTTCATATTTAATTTATACTAAAATACGTACGCATCAAAATATTGTTCCCTAATGTTCGGCTTTTCTAGTAATCAGAACAGATGTTTCTATAAAACAATGCACGTACATTGCAATTATATTATTTACTTATTATTCAAATACATGGGTAAGAACTAATGAAGAGCTTAGAATGAGAATTATAACTTTTTTTTTATATAGAAAGAATGAACTTTAATCACTTATATATTTTCCATATTTCCGGCAACTTCATGATTCGGCGCTCATAAAACTGCTAATACAGGAAAAAACTAAACTAAGTCAAAGAGTTTAGCAAACTTCGAAATAAATAGTAATCTAATGGTATAAGGTCAGATCTACATCACTTCTCAACTTCCAACAATTTTCCACCACTTAACAAAAAATGTGTGAGGATTTGAATTGTTTTCGTGGATTTGCCAATCCTGGTAAGTCTGGACAGTAAATATATTCTCAAAATATACACAATACCTTTATAATCCTACCAAATTGATAGCAGGATAACTCTTGTTAAAATTAACAACACCTAACAAAATTACAATTTGAAATTGGCTTCTAAATGAAGCTAAAAGTTACAACTTTCAAAGAACAGAAGGTAAATAGTCATAACATTGACAGAAGCACTTAAAAACAAATATAATATTTACAATTAATTGGTATTAAACATTTCCCAATAAATAGTAGTGAATAATAAATAAATTGGATTATGTGAGTTTAATAATAAAGTGTGCATAAACTTCGTATATGGATTATTTTATAAGTGTTCAAAGTGTTATTGCAACAAGTAGCTGTTACTTAACTGATCCATGGCTATAAAGCATGAACGTATTAACAGTAGCTACTGGCTTACAGTTATAATCAAGAGCGTGTTCGATAAAGCACAATTTTGAGGCGACGAAGACATGTCTTTTGCTCATTCCCCGCCACGGATTTCAACGGAAGTCGAAACACTCCGTTCACGGAATTCTTAATGAGGCTGTTACATACCAAAGTACTTATTTGTGTAACAACATTTACTTGCTGGTCTCTTGTATATATGCTTTTAACGTTACAGAGCGCGCGACCTACATTTACCTAATCGCACAATAAACTTTATATACATCTCTCTCTTTCTGTCTCCGTATTTATTAAATACAAACTACCTCGATTCATACAAATATATATTCTATGTTCACTATATAAATGTATCGATTTGTGCGGGAATCGTAAACCCGCAGGTCTAATGTCTGCGCAAACAGAACGATAATTTGATTCAATGAAAGTTGCAGCGATTTGTTTCAATTTAATACACGCTACGTCTATCCAGATTTCTTTAAACGTCTATACGCTATAATTATGTTTTATTTCGAAAACTAATAACGATATTTTGTAAAAATAATTTAATAATATCAAATAATTTAAGTAATTAAGAGAAAATTACTTAAAGAATAGTAATATTTGAATGATTTTAATAAATACTTCTTAGTATGTAGTAAGTAATGAATGTAAATGAATTATAGTAAATATTTAAATTGATTTCTCTTTGAATAATTGTTTAATATATAATTATAATCAGCGTAAATATTCTAATTAAGATTTTAGTCATACTTTCAATATAATGTTATATAAAATACGTCAGTCAGGAAAATGAAAATATTTAAGAATATTATGTTTTGTACTTGTATTACTGAACTTTGTATTGAAATAATTTAAAACTTACTAGAAGGTAAACCGCCAAAAATCCTGCAGCTATAGCCAGGCTGCAGCAAAAGCAATTCTCAATCAAAACCATTTTCAAGCACTCTCGTGTCCTCCAACATTTTATCATATCCTTAAGAAGACACCAGAAACATTAGCAATTCAAAAAATCATCGCAGCACTTTGCAACATTGTTTCCTTTTACTTAAAACATTTAAACCAACACTTTCTGCACAAGTCGAACTAAATTAAAAGCGCATCACATTATCCTTATACACTTTTTTTTTGTATGTTTCTTATAATCTTTTGTAATTTGTGTTTAATCGAACTATTGGAGCTCTTTCAATAGGTATGACTCAATTCCGCGTTGGCTTCGCGTCGCGGACTATTCAAATATTTCATTCACGTGCGCCGCTCGTTGTTTGTTGTCCAATACACTTTCTCTCCTTGTGTCTCTACCACCTCTTGATTCGCACCTGTACATGCGTTTTGTTATTCACATAGTCCTATTATCTCTTCTGATCATTTGCAACCTAGGCAACCAAGTATTCATATATAATAAATATATATATTACCGCATATAGTATCATAGGGGTTCTGGCTAAATGAGCCCAAGCTTATAACAATCACCACTGTTACTGTAGCAATATAATAAAGCATTTTTAAATCTTAATCTAATTTTGCTTCATGGGGTCTATATCGCAAGCCCGAAAGACCCGTCTATTCAAATCCTGACGTTCGAAATACCGACTATATCAAAATCTTGACAACCATAATCCCGACTGTATCAGAATCTCGACAAACATAATTTTAGAATAACATTTTAAAATTATTTCGTAGTCACCTTGTGCTACACTTTTATTATTAATAAATAAATTATGAAATAATCGCAAATACAATTAGATTATTAATTCTTATTATTTATTATTAATAACAATTTAACGCTCCGGAATAATTTAAATATGTTATTGTAGACATTTTCGATATAGTCGAGATTTTGATACAGTTGGGATTATGGTTGTCGGGATTTCGATACAGTCGTCATTTCAAACGTCGGTATTTCGAACGTCGGGAATTTGATTGACTGTATTTTGGTTGTCGTGCTTGAGATTGCCACCGAGTATCATGAGATACAGTATATATGTATCAAAGCATATATTTTAAAGAAATATTTTTGGTTTTGTTTTGTTATCAAGAAAATTAATTACTACAGATTTCAAGTATTTCGTTCTCATATTATTAAATGTTATTTACTTTCTGTTTTAACATTAAATTTGGAAATAGTACCATTAATCTAAAATTTAAATAGTATATGCGTTTTTTCATTCATGTGACTGTCCATTCATGATGGACGATGGTCCATTGCTGCAGCGCTGGTGGTTTAAGTCTTCGATTAGTCAAGATTTAATTCAAACATTGCGAAATATTGACGGAAATGATTACTTAAACCAGGGTTTCCCAAACTAGAAACGGAACACTTCGTAAATCCTGAAATTTGTACGGAACTTCTTCTTGAGAAAATGAGGAAAAACATACATATTTAGTAATATAAAACGTCGAAAGTTTTATAAAAAAAATGATTCCATGTCAAATGCAATTTTTATCTCTTGCTGCAAAAAGTCTGGTCATCCCTGCTATAGACAACTATAAAATTTTGGATATAATAAGCAAATACAAGGCCAGAGGAATCCAAGTCCAAAGAGAAGTATGTCGTTCATAGTAAAATATCTAAATATGTCCATATTTGTAACGAAATTTACTAATTTATAAATATTGATGTAATTGCAACTAACAGTGCGCTCTCGGTGTATAGAGTATGTTGCATCAGACAACAAATGGTAGCAAGGAACCCTTGCCAAATATGTAATTTGCGCCCCCGTTTCCAAGAATCCAAGAAAGAAAATATTTAATTAACGCTCCCCTTTTTTCAAGGAAACAATAGCATTATCTATGATTTGTACCATTGGCGCACCTTGATTAATACTCCTGGGGCAGTCGTCCCCTTTGCACCCACTTGCTGCGGCGTTGTATTTATATTTTTGTTTATTATATAACTTATAGTGTGGATTCACCTTACTAAGTACACAAATTCCTGTAATTGCAATCCATTGAGTTACATGAGTTTTATGTGAGATGGCGTTTGTATACATGGGATGATCTTTCGTTAGTTCCGAGTTTCGGAATAGATGTCAGAGCATGTACTCATGTACAAGGAACAATTTGCATTTCCATAATTGATGGTAATAAATAATACGGTCCGGAACGCGTACGAAAGTCAAATGATATATGATTATTATCACTCGTGCGTTTAATAACTGCGCATTTATTCAAATTGATAAATTACAATACACGCATACATGCCTGCAGCGGCTGTAATTAATATCCATGCGAAACCAAAAGCAAAAGAAATGAAAAAAAAGGATGAAATGAGAGGAAGAGTTCAAAAAAACCATTTGCCCAGCTCCGTGAGCGAAATTTCGGAACTTTGTCAGTGCGTTTAATCCCGCAATTTAAATGGGCTTATAATTAAAAGTAAGTCGGAGAGTAAGAGTGGAGAGACGATGAGCGGCATTCGGGAGATGTCCAAGATCTAAGTTGATAGCATAAAATTACGATTATTTCCTGTGCGGTCGTCCTGCCTCTTAAATGACCCAGGCAGTTGCCAAGGGCGGACATCACTTCGTGTGCTTCGTCTGTTGGGGGGCATCAGCTTCTTTGTGCTGCATACGAATCGATTTTTAATTAAGGACGGAGAAAACGATTCGTAATTAGTATGAATCGGGGTGGAGGAGAAGAAGGCAGCGAGAGGGAAAAAAAGTGCGCGCCTTTTCCTGATCGCGCAATGCGCTCGCTTCATAAAGGACTTAATGAACAAATTGTTGTTCGCCTCCTCATCCATCTGCTCGTCATTGAAATGCGCTCCTTTTAGTAGCTGTGTTGTTGTTTAATTGCTATGATGATGATGCATGATGCACGTCCATCCGTAGGTGGTCGTTGCTCGATGCTCAGGGTAATTGATTTTTCCTCCTCCTTCCCTTGTCCAGCGAAAAACCGAAGGCTTTTGGGAACTTTTAAACGGACCTGAGCCGCGTCAGCGCTAACGACCTGATCCGAAGATAAAGGATAAGAAGAGACGAGTCGAGTACTACGGAGACGAAGACGACGACGATGATGATGATGATGATAAAAAGTAAAATGGGTACGAGGCTAAAAAAGGGCTCGCTCATCCTTACGCCTAACGCGATTACTCCCATTCACTCTCTCTTTCCCACTCCATAACCGGTCCCTTCTTTCTTCTTCCTTTCTTAATTTCCTTCCCTACACAACATAAAAACCCTTTCGCCTATTCAAGACCCGATCAAACGTGCCTCAAAATGATGATAGCACGTTCAAAAACTTTTTAAATTGTAAAGAAACCAATTAAGTTAAGAAATTGTTAAAATACTTATATATACTTCAGCCTCGCCTCTCAAAATCGAAACCAATTAATAATCATAATTTATTTACAATATCTCAATAGAATTACTAATTGTGACTGGTCATAAATAATCAAATTAAGAGCATTTTTAATGTATTATACAGTATATTTTTTCTAAATATGAAACATTCTGTACTGAATAGGAAGTCCGATGTTTTATTATGATTTAAGAGATACAATTATTTCTATGAAATAATAAATTAAAGTAAATTTGAAATAAATGTGTAATTTGTAACAAAAAAAAATCATACAGTGGGTGATCAAACAGTTCGGATTTCAAAAAAAATCGCAAAAGATTTGTATGTTAGGACAAACTCATGTTTGGATAATGAATACGATCGATTGACGTTACTTTTGGGATATAAAGATTAAATCGGTTAACATATTTTCAAGAATTTTGTTGGATTATGAAGGTCCATCATCACTTAGCGAATGTGTACCTTCAATATATATTTGTTTTGTGAACTTTTCGTAAACTCGCGCATTTTTTATGTCCTACCTTTTTATAAATAGATTATGTTTCTTTTCATAACAGTAAACATTATTGCTATTTATAGCAGTCTTTTCGCCTAACTTCGAAAATTATTATTATAAACGAAAAAAATTGGTATATAAATCACATAAGTCAAAATTTTTGAAAAATGTACATATTTTATTTGTTTAACCATACTTTTAATACATATTAATATAACATTTTCAAATTAGATATATAAAGTATTATACAAAGTTTTCGAGATATACCTAAAAATATAATTACGTTTTATGAAAATACTGCATCGATATTATATGTTCTAATTTGCATGCTTAATTGACTGCAAATTGTGTAAAATTTGGCATTATATACAATCTGCACTTATAACTTGGTAACATAGTTGGTAATGGATGTATACTTTATCAGGAACTGCGTAAATAAAAGATTAACTGTAGATGTATGTAATACATACTGGAATCACTTGTTTGGATGAAATAATTTGTTTCGCGTTATTGTATATATGGTACATAGAATTGAGAGATCTAGCGTTCTACTACACAGAAAGTAATCTTGAAAGATGTTCCGCGAAGAAATGCAGTTGACGTTATTCCAATTCCTCGTTGTGTATATGGTTTTTCGGGAAACAGTTTCAAAAGCTACACGTTGTGGTCGACGTTATTATTTGTATCGATTCAGGTTTCGAAAGCACAACACACACAATATTGGTTTTATGTAATGGTAATAACACATATACAACGGAATACAATGAAAAAAAAATGAGAGAATATGATAGAGGAGACGGAATTGCGGTCGTCGAGGAAAAACCGCATGTAATGAAAGAATAACATTCCGGTCTCTTTTGCTCTCTCGCAACGGCCATATGCTGGAAACTGCATGGGTTCGATAAAAATTCCGAACGGAGAGTTGATAATAATAATAATGAAAAATTTATATATATATAAAAAGAGAGATGAATGAAAAAAAAAATGGAAGTGAGGAGGGAACGCAACAAAAGGGCTTCATTAAAATAATATTATTTCTATATCATTTGGGACGGGTGGGGCTCAACCATAACATCACGCATGCAGCCGGGTACATAACGGTGTTCATTCTTGGATACTTAATGCAGGAGGGTGGATGAGGAAACAATAATACACATATCTGGGATGCTGTTGTCCGAAATATGCAGAGGAATAATGATAACAATTCCCGATATAATAAAGAGACCCTTTTCCTGCTCGTCCTCCGCATCGCAGCAGCGGCGGATGTGTCTGTATGAGTGTGTGGGTTGGCTGAAAGAAGAGAGACGTTCGTTGTACGTGCATGCACGTAAGGACGTAATATCGAATATCATGCAGCCATAAAACTCGCAATTCCTTTTTACGTCCCGACGGAGCCGACCATCACCAAGGACTCCTCACCCTAAACCGCTCAGCCGTAAGGACGAAAATCCTGTCTCAAAAGGGACAC